TTCTGTATGTGAAACTCGAACTCAGAAACTTTTGTTACATACGCGAACATTGAGCCGGCATCGAACGGTGTTAATGTCTCATTTCAATCGATTCATGACCTTGCGCAACCGTTTATCGACTATCTGAGATTGATAATTGTCTCCACCCGATACGGGCTGGGCTCCACTCCTATTTAACTAATTGAGGGAATTAATCAATTTCTTCTTAACATTGAGGTATTCCAGAGATTACTCATTTTGTAGTTTTTAATTGATTTCGTTTCTGGTTAACATTTTTTTATTCAAGGTTGTTTACGCAAGCAAGTTTTAAATTGAAGACTGACTTTAGCTAGATAACTGTAAAACTCCATTTGTCATTCATCATAGATGTCACACAAGTGTCACTAAATGCATTTAATATTAGTCGCACAATATGCGACATGTAAACTAACTGATGTCAATTCAGTAGATCATTCAGTAGACTTTCTTTTCAAAAATGAAGAATATTTGAGCGATAAATTGCTTTCAATAAATTCATCATCAGGCTCTACAGTCATAAGTCCATAATTATTGTGATATTTTAAAGGCCAAAATAAAGCATGCATTAGTGAATTTGACAGTGTTGTTGCTGTGACTCGTAAGCCCAGCTAATTATCACGTGATTTATTCACCGATCGAAATGCAACTTATACAATCTTATTACTGTGCCAAACCAATGACTTTCGACCGGTATGGACAGCCAAGCGTCCTTATTGGTCCTTTGTTCTCCTGACTCTTCCAGCTAAGTCCAGAGTGCCAATAACAGCTTCCGCTATGCGAATCATTTATTTCAAACATACTTGGTTTATATACAAGCCAAACAGACCTCATCACACCATAAGATAGGAATTAATATTTATAGAAGATCAAGCCAAAAAGTGGCTGTGAACGTGGGAGGTTGTAATCAATAAACCAAGTATAATTTTAGAATAGTAAATCGCATCATAATAGTCTATAGATCCAAATAAAGCGTGCAATAAGAGGAGTACAGGTATACATAATCTAGTTACTCAATAGTTATACAATAAGAATATATATATATTTATATGTATTAGTCCATTAATAGCCCACAGAAGTTATCCGTAATTTAATCTGCATTAGAATATAAAAGTTATATATTAAAAATCATGAATATTTGCATCTGTTACAACACATATACCTCGAAATTGTGTTATTTGTAAATTACAAAGGTCATTTAATAAAGGTCAGAATAATTTGGAGTAAAGTGTCAAGGCACAATCAGAATAATAGTAATATCACAAGGTGAAAATGAAAAAAAAACCATGTGAATAAAATGCATAGTAGGAGAATTTCGTCAAGTTAGTGGAGGTAGTAATAATAATAAAATCGTTGTGTGAACGTGATATTTAACAACGGGGGTGTTATCAAGGTAATTACTGTAAAAAGAATTCACGTGAATTGGAAAAGATAAGTGTGCAGATTAAGAAAGTTATCAACACAAAAATAATTGGGAAGGGGTAAGAAGTATATAATATTTAGTTTAGGTATCAGGTGGTCCAGTCGTGAGCCAAGGTAAACATAAAGGTTGAATATATTCCTTCTGGATATATAAGTTCGGTTTTTAGGAGTTAGTCCAGATGGCTTCAGTTATATGTAGAGTAGCTATAATCTAGCTCTTTTTAAAGTAGAATTTTTGGAACTTGGTATAAAACAAAGAAAGCTCCCTCCATTTTAATATGATGTTCACTATATACCAAGTGAGAAAGAAAGGTACAGTTAATCGACTTAGTAACTCCCTTTCCCAACCATGCCGGGACATGTTCATGAATACGCAAAGATAAAGCCCTCTGAGTACGGCCTATGTAACGAGCTCCACAGGAGCAGTTGAATTGGTTCACACATATGGAGGAGCACATCATCAACAACCTATCCTTAATTTGTTTTTTGTAAGAACTTGTTTTGTTGGAGGAATTGTGTGTAACCTGGTGTCACGAAACGTCCTTTCAACAGATCTTTTGAGTTGACGTGTTAAAATGTAACCCGCTACGTCCTCTTTAAAGTCCAGTTTCAGATACAGGGTTTTTTTTACTGATCGAGTCACAGTTTCTTGTTTTTTTAATACCTCCTAATAGGAATTTTCAGACGAAATTATCTGGATAGTCGTTATTTCGTTATGTTTTTCAGTGTGTCTTTCTCTATATCTACTCTATCTTCAGAACATAATTGTTTGATTCTGTGGCTGAGACATTTAACCAAATTTGTTCTGTATTGAAGAGGTGTAAAGCCATGGAAATGAGTATATTGACCCGTTCATGCACTCTTTCTAAATATAGTTCTTTTTATGGAACCTAGAAATTAGGATATAAAGGCAAGCTATAATATTGACGTTCTCTTCTTCGCTGGTGAATTTAATAATTGGATGGACGTTACTGAAACAGTTCAACAGCTCTTGTTTGTGGATACTTCCGTCACACACGATTAGTGTGTCATCTATGTATCGGCGGTAATAACCTAACTTATTTAGTGTGTCTTTGGAATTACGATCAGGCCTAAGAGTGATCCGATTGCAACTCCATCTATTTGTCTGTAAAATTCAGTGTTAAACATAGAGTAGATATTCACAGTACATTTCAACAAAGGCTCCTTCATTTTATTTATTGGGATCGGCATCTCTGTTTTCTTTTCTAGCAGTTGTTCACATATGTAATCAATAGTTTCATTCAGTAGGAAGTTAGTCTAAAAAAGATGTTATGTTTAGTGATAATATGGTTTGGCTATTTATGTTCTTCTTTTTTCATTGTATCTGCAAGTTCTAATATGTCTTTAAAGCTGTACTTAACCAATTATTGGTGTAATGGTTCTAACAATTTCACCAACCATTTTGTTATTGAATGGTATGGTGAATTTGACTTGTCTAGAATTGAACGTAAATGAATCTCAGGTTTACGAATCACAAGTATGCCATAGAGTCGAGGGATATGTGTTGTTTTATTGATCATCATGTCACTTGCTTATGGTTTATAAGTGTTGTTTCAACTAATTGCTGATCAATCAGTAATTCTGACTCATTACCCATGGATAGTACCCATCTTTTCAAAATATTTGGTTGATCGAACACATAAGCTTCAGATTACTTTTTGTTAAATACATTTAGTACCAAAATGTTTCTGAGTTGTTTCACAGTTTATCCTCTCACTGAATCAGTCACAACATTGCTGTAGTTGTCACATTGGAACTAAACATTTGACTTTACTCCTTGATATAATTATTTCTCTTCACTCTTATATCAATCTTTTTCAACCAATGCGATCATATAGCATATTCATTTCGACAGTGTTTTCTTAAATATACTGTTCATACTTAAAATGGGTTGTTTCACTGTGAACCACTAAGAAAAAGAATTCAATAAGAATTTGGCTTGTTTATATTTAATTCAGAATGTAAAACTAAACAATAGTTATACTATGGAATTCATAGTATTATTTCATTATCTGTAATAATCTACACTCTACCACTCATAACTGACAACGTTATTAAGGAAATCGTATGAGGTTATCTGTTCATTTGTCAGTGTTAAATAAAAATGTAATATCTAACGTTTTCAAAACATTTTTCCGTCCATTTAGCGGGTGAGTACTGAATGTGAGATGATAATTTTCATTACGAGTTTTATTTCAATTGGTTAAAGATATCTACATATGTCTTCTATGAATACGTCACTATAACGTATCACAATCTACTAGATGAGAAGAGCAAATAAAGTGGAAATTACAGCTTGAATTGTAATCTTTATTGAAAGTTATGCTCTTATGTACATTAATCACATATCAAATGAGCTGAAATTATCTAAAAATACTTGATATCAGACGCATATTGAAAATTGGAAAACGAATGTTCTGTAAAATCACAAGGATGTATCCTGTTTCAGAAAACCTAGTACCATATTTCAGATTAATAAAAAGCTTGTTTAATCACTAATTTACTGGAACAATTAGTTCAATAAATTATATAACCTGAACTGTTTATTGATTTCATTAGGATCCATTAATCAATAATAATACTAAACTATAAACCTAATAACAATAACCCTGGGTAAGAATAAACTCCACTCTCGTTTGCAGTTTTGACCTTGCACTTGGTAACCGATCAAAATAAAGTGGAAATTATTATTTACACTATCGTAATCAGTGATGGAGAGCGTTTCGTTATCCGTAGTTTTGCTGGCTTACATGAAAAATATAAAGTTTTCTATGACAAAAATAGCACTTCATCGTGCTACGGATGTGTCAAGTAAGTCACGATGTAACAAAATCTAGAGCACAGCAAAAGACATATGTTCCATTAATTCTATGGTAGAAGTTATTTCCAAACCTAAACGTAAATAATTAACTGGAAAACACACAGATAACATCAAAAAGGGTTTTGTGGATATTATAGTAATTCTAATTGAAACTAGACCACCATGGAAAACCTGGAAGCACTGGACGGCCGTTTCGTCCCATTGTGGGATTCCTTAGCAGTGCGCATCCACGATCCCGCCCGGCGAGATTTGAAATTACGGCCTATCGGTCTCGCTTGCGATCGTTTAGCAGTAAATGTTATTCATAACTGAGATTTCAACAACTGATCAGTTCAAACTGGATCTTTATGGGAAAAAAGGGCATGTTGGATCTCTTATTTTCCCATAATCTGAACATGCTTTCTAGTCATACTTATTGTGGTTTATACTGATTAACTCATTCTTCACCTTTATATAAATCAAGTGAACAATCATTATTTTCACCTTATTCCATATCACTACCTTTCATATTAATATAGGATTTATACTATTAATGACGCGGCCACTTTGTATTTTACTGTAAATTACTATGTACAGAAATAACTATTCATACAATTGTACAGGAATAATAAATGAACCACCAAAAATAAACTTTTTATCGCTAAACGGTATTCATTATTGATTACATAATAAGAGAAAGGGATAACAAACTTTGTTTAACAAATTTATCATTTCATTTTAGTTAATGGAAGCTAATCAAAAACTGGTATGCAAATGTCATGGAGTTAGTGGTAGTTGTGCTCAACGTGTTTGTTTTCGTCAACTTCGACGAATCGATACAGAATTAATGCAAAAAGCATTAAAAATGAGATACTTAGTAAGTTTAAATAAAATAAATTTGTGTACATTTCACATTGTTCATTAATCAACAAATTAATATAAAATATACTTAACAGTATTAAATTTAGTGTTTATCAGATTTGTTTTTATTTGTTTATCCATGAATTTTCAGAATGACTAATGAATGAATATTTTTCTAGACAGTCTGTATCATTGTTTGATAGCAGTTAGATAATAATTGAAGACTATGAAATACAGGACATATATTTCATCTTAGTATGGGGTTCGTCAGTTGTACGTATCCAAGATCTTACCGAAAACCTTTGGTTTTACGGTGTTTGCTTAACCTCTGTACCCAATGGGATGAAATTCAATGTTATACGTGTCTAACTTTTCTGGATCCATAACATTATACAACAAATTTTGATTGCCCAGGGTAAGTAACTATCTGACGCCTGTTATAGTTTAATGTACTAGTTATGGCTTCTCACTATGACTCCTGGAATTACATTTAGAAGCTAGTACATAATTGTTACAGATATTCTTTTTATCTATCCTTACTTTCATTATTGATATATTTTTATTCTCATTTTCTCGAAAATAAGGCAGCCAAACAGGTTTCGGAAGGTAAAAATGGTGAATTAATCGCCAAAACATTTATTGGTAATGGATTTATCGATGAAGTAGTAAAACCGGAAGAACTGGTATTTAGTGAACATTCACCAGATTATTGTAATGTAGAACCTCAAAGAGGTTCTGTTGGTACACGAGATAGGTAAGTTATAAAAATACCATGTGATGTGTGAGTAACTAAGTTTCTATGCGTATCATTTCCTGTAAAATTGTTCATTGAAAGAAACTTAATTATATTAAACAATAGATTTATGGTGAAAATATTCATTAGTCAGAATAACAGCGAAATGTAAATGTAAGTTCACATTGTTAGAATTAGTTAAAGGTTCAAAGATACATTCATGATTTTGAGATAATAATTTGTTTGAGTATTATGTCAAAATAATTCAGCTCAATCAAATGATAAGCATTTTCACAGATTTTGTTTCTGTAAATTTCAATCATTATATTAATAAGAGGATTATAATGTTAATATATTATCACATTATCTCTCTTACAGTTCCTCAAAGACATATGTAAAGTTATAATTTGAACGACAGTTGAGCTATCGTGTCACACAGATATAGCTAAAACCTGTCAATCTTTAACTAGGTTAAGGTTAACGGCTAAATAGAAGACAAAATACACAGCCATAGGTGACCAAGCTAAAAGTCATGATCTTTAAGTTGTTATAAATTTAATACGGACAATAAATGAAATGCGAATATCAGAATTTTCGACTATACAGAGTGATTGTGCATTCTCTTTAAGTCAAATTACGTGCTGAAAGCATTTTACGTTATTTCTCATTTGTAAACAGAATTTGTACATTGAAAGATACGGGGACATCAAATTGTGTGAATATGTGTTGTGGTCGTGGTTACAGAAATGTGACCAAACGAGAAATTGTTCAATGTAACTGCCGAATGGCCTATGGATTCAAAGTGCAATGTGATGAATGTAATATTGAAACTGTAACTCAGAGATGTTTATGAATGCACTTAGCAACTTATTATGTGTTAAATACCGAAGAAAATTCTCCAGGGTCATGATTTAAATCAGCTAGAACAATTTCATGATAGCAGGCTATGCATGTGGTGTACACATCTTATGTTTTTAATTTTCTTAAAAATACTATACTACTTAAAAATTGTAAGTAATTTATTATGGAACCATTAAATTTAGACCATGTCAATCACGGTTATGTACATATATCTTTCTAACTTTGCATGCTAAGCCAAATCCATGTTACTTATTATGCTAAAAAAAATACGCCAACCAAATCTTATTTTTTGCAAACATATATCACCACAGACAACCACAAATTACATAGTAAGTTAGGATTAAATTTTGAGGAGAGTGAAATGAGTGAAAAAGACGTGATGTATTTAGTCTTTTGTAACAAATAACGAGTCTTTGATTATATTAAGTTCTGCGTACACGAGATGTTCTATCAATAACATGATTAGGTTTGACAGAACTTAGGTAATCACTGATGTATCAACGAATACTTTAATAATATAGAACGTTTTGTTGACTGAAATCTCAACAGAAATGTGAATCGGCAAAAGACTACTTGTCACGAATATTTATTAATTTCTGGTTCGCGTTAACTAATCGCCATATTTTGCGGATTTCAATGTCTTTTTCTGCGCATATAGCCGGATTCTGTCAACTGAACTATGGAATGATACCCATTTATGTTTAAAAAATAAAGTTTGAAAAAAAGTTGGTCATTGTAAGAGTTCGTTAACACGATTCTATACAAATTCCAAATTAATCCTAATAAAAATAATGAATTCCTTATTGTTTGCGTATTCGCTTTGTCGATCAGTATCTAGATATTCAAAACAAAAACATTTAGTCAGTGATAATTAATGTAGAATCTGGATACTTACGATTCGGAGCAAGTTGCGATGATATATCATTGAAACGTGATGAAATTGACAAAATAACTCCCAGATAATTAGAATTAGTAATAATATCAGCGAAAGTTGAAAAAATTCGACGTAGACGATATGACTAAAAGTTAAAAAGTAAATTTGTGGAATAAAAGGTATACAGTAAATTTAAAACCCAAGACTCTAAAGAAGACGAACAGTGAATGCATCTCTTCCATTGAGAAACATTCTGAACCATAACATCAAATCGTAACTAACTATTGATTAGGAAAATTACAATATGGTGAAGAAGATTTGTAGCTCAGGGGATGTTCTTTGAGCTCAAAGAACAAAGCTCCATCGAAATTACCCTATATCCAAAATGGTAACCCACATCTACTAAGATGGCTCAACTCAACTATCAATGACCTTATTGACTGAGGCTAGATCTGGCTTCCATCTAACCTACTTCTACACCAGACAGCATACCGCGTCGAGGTAGTTGGTGGCTGTATATAAGTGATACATACCCAAACAACCTCAGTGGATGAAAATGTACTACCTCATTACATAAACAGTCACCTTTATCCGTTACTTTAAGTCTAACCTAAGCTTGGCTCAACATTCTAGAGGAATGTTTTGAAGGTATTTATTATTAAACACTGGCAATATTCGAAAATCCTCTGTATTTAGAGACAATGTTTCATAAAGGTAAAGAAAAACTAAGTGAAATGCTTTGCAGCATACTCGTGTCCCGAGTGATACAAGTTGATGAAAGCCAAGAGAGTCTGAATCCACTTCGAGATTTCAACGGACAAGAACCTACAATAATTGATGAAACTTCCCCCATAGGTTTTGTGGTCAACTTCATTAAGTACTTCACCCCCTATCGGTAATATAGTAGTAGGTGAAAACCAGTCCAGAAGAAAGATTTTACACTTAGAGGGATAGAAATGAATCTACATATGCTTACATTGCCACCAAAAAGGATCAAAAGACTATATTTCTTCAGTTTCTTTACCAAATAATACTACGTAATTTCTGTGTTTTAAGTTAAGAAGTGAACATTTTGGTAGGAGATTAATTCAAAGGTAATTAGACAAAGAAATGATCATCACTAAAAGAATGTCTACGACGAAATTAGATAAAAATGAGGAAAGCGTACAATCCTCATAAATATCACGAAACGTTTTCAATTCTGATGACAATTCTCTATGAACTCTTAGTAGACTTTTAGTAGTAGAGCTTATGATTCTTCAAAATAAGGGAGTTTTTTCGACGAAATCATTTGCTTAAGTTGTACATTCGTATTTACAGTTGTTTGTTAAATATATATAACTGTAGAAAGATATAAAAGATTGCATCGTAGAGTGATTCGAGATTTCAAACATCAAATGAGGTTGATTATTAATCAGGGGGTTAGAGAAGAATATGAGGTTGTAGCGGTTACTTTTCAAACGCATCCAAGAACATTACCCGGTGTGGCTTTTAAAAGAAGAATTCAAAACAATCATCAGTTCAATACAGGAGCATCTAGTCAACTCTGGACACATCGCTTCAAAGTAGTATTCCTTCAAAATAATCTACTTATTTAAAGGAACTAGGTCGAAATGAGGCTGTCACAAAAATTTATGCACTGTTAAGGCGTAGGAGATCCACTAATTCAAGTTCAAACCCTGTGTGCACAGACGACACGTCTAACCTCTTATACTTTCTTGGGACTAATTCCCTTCCGAAGCATGCTTTAGTCTCGTTTTATTCTTATTACTGTTTTGTAATTTAAAACCGTAATCAGTTATTATTATCCTTTACAATTTTTCATGATCCTCATTCAGTTATTATTATAACCACTATGTTTTTCATTTTTCTTCAAGCGGACAATTATCTTTCATAATTCTGACCAGTAAGTTATTTTTATTCTTCTATTCTTCTCTTACCCCTTGATTATTGCATAACCTCATTTGATAATAAGAGTCTCGAATCAATTTATGATGTAATCTTTTCTATCCTTCTATAGACATTTATTTACCACACAAGTAGAAATACGAATGTACAACTTGAGTAAGTGATTTTGTCGAAAAGAAAATTTTCTTCGCTGAATTCTTTTTATTTTTATTTGTTGACACATTGAGTTATTTTAATTATCCAAAGGATATCTGTTAATTGCTGGTGTTTTACCAGTATTTTATTAGTATTTTCAATCTCGTATGCTTTTGGAATTACTCGATATTAGCTTTTATGTTATCGCCATAAAACGGGGTGAGGATGTTATAATTCAGCGTTCAGTTTATCGAAAAGATACATGGAATGGTGTTTATCTGAATTTCACTAGCTTCTTTCTGTTAGTTATAAAAAGACACTTATCAAAACTTTATTTCACAGAACAGAAAGAATAGTACCACCGATACACTAGAAGTCAAATTAATGAACGCTAAAAAATGCCTTATGAACAAAGAGTATCCAAAGACATTTATTGGGAAAAGTTAGGACAAAAGTTCTAAAGAAACTACAGTAGACAATAAACACTCACCTTGGATCAAAAAGTGACGGTGTTGCAGTGACAATAAACGAGATTGAAAACCACACTGAACAGAGTATCTCCTGGAGCCAAACTGATTATCTTGTATAAAACATTTTCTTTACTCCAACCGAGGATTGATAGTTAGTTCTTTTAAGTTACCGTAAACTGGGTATATAAATTTATATGTACCTGCTAAAGCAATTACATTGATAGAACAGAAAAAAGGCCCTACTTTTGGACTAAAGAATATATCCCAAACAGTCTCAGATCAATAGGATTAAAGGGTTTTAGCACTGTATTTTCTGGACATCTCTGTAACACAGAGCATCAAGTCGATATACTGAAATCTTTCAGAATCATCAATCGACAGTTAGATTTCATTCCGTTCAATTTTGCCAATGTCATAGCCATGAAACATTTAAAATTGGGCTTATGCATCTAAAAAAGTGTTATAAATCTTTGCTTTTTATGTTGACTTTATTGTCAGTTTATTACATCATTCTTACAATATTTTCTCTCTTATTCCGATTGCATCACTTCTTTCACGTTCAAAATTTTGTATTTAATTGACTGACTTCAACCTGTTTAATTCTTGATTACTATTAATTTTCGTACACATAGTTCCCTTTATTATTTTAAAGAGAGCAAGAACAAAGATTGGTGCAGAATAATATGAATTCATTTTGTCTCGTTAGGTTCTCATCAGCTGCTTACAACCCAAATTATTTGAAATTCAAAATTATTACAAATATTGACATATTTATACATAAGAGGGTGATTAAAGATGAATAAATGAATCATGATGTAGCGAAGATTCCGATAGAGTTAATGAGGTCATAAAATTTTGTCTCGAATAAATAGAGTTTGAGAGGGAAAGTTCCAGAGCATTGAAATAGTGATTAGAACTCATGAAAATAGATTAATGGTAATACAGAAAAATATGAATTGCAATCAGTCAGTTATGTATGATGCAATTTAAACTTTAGAAAGAGTTGGAATAATGACGCAATAAATAAATAAATAAAGGAATAAGTTCTTTGACACAATCAAAGTTGACAGGCATCCCTTTCATGTTACCACCAACTGTGTATACAAATTCACATGTATCTGCCAAAGCAGTTACATTGGTAGAACAGAAAAGAGAGCCTACGTCCGATTCAAAGAACATATTCCGAAAAGTTTAACATCAAATGGATTGAAAACATTAAACAGTGCCATCGCAAAACAGCTCCTTGATACAGGACACGAAGTTGACACACTGAAGTCCTTCAAGGTGATTAATAAACAATCAAGCTCTAACCTTCTGAAATTTGCTGAAGCGTTAGCAATCAAACGTCTAAAACCAGACTTATGTATACAAAAAGAGACAGCAATAAATCTTTCTTTACCCTGGTAACAATACCCCCCCTTTTTTATTCATTTATTTCTACTTATTTATTTATTCATACATAACTGACTGATTGCAATTCATATTTTTCTGTATTACCATTAATCTATTTTTATGAGTTCTAATCACTATTTCAATGCTCTGGAACTTTCCCTCTCAAACTCTATTTATTCGAGACAAAATTTTATGACCTCATTAACTCTATCGGAATCTTCGCTACACCATGATTCATTTATTCATCTTTAATCACCCTCTTATGTATAAATATGTCAATATTTGTAATAATTTTGAATTTTAAATAATTTGGGTTGTAAGCAGCTGATGAGAACCTAACGAGACAAAATGAATTCATATTATTCTGCACCAATCTTTGTTCTTGCTCTCTTTAAAATATTAATTTTTGTCTTCATTATATCATCGATAAATTATTTTACCGCTATGGTCTTTTTTTACTGTCTGATAATCCAGAATCTCTTACATATTGTATTTATTTAC